GTAAATTTACATCATTTATCGAGGCCTGATATTAATCTATGTTACATATATCACTAAACAGACGTAAAAGACTTCGAAAATTAAAAATTGGACAAAATTTACCTCGCATATGTATATATATGACGTAAATTTCGTCTTTTTTTTTAATATTTGATTTATTTTGTCTTACAACAAAAACCTTGAAACATATATTATAACCAGACAGATCAAACGTTCAAGCTTATTTAACTAGTAAATAAAAAAATATAATACCATATATCATTCAAACTACAAAAGTTAAATTAATACATCATGCTAATACAAAAATTAGGCTACCTAAATTACGTAATAAAATAATATAATACAAACAATAATCTATAAACTAAAATCTATTACAAACTAAAAGTTAATACAAACTAAGCTACCTAAACTACATAATATACACAATATAATATCAACAATAACCTACAAACTAAGTATTAGAATTGCTGAACAAAAAAATTGTCCATTGTTGTCTAATTTGTGTGATATCATGTTCTGACAATAAAGACGAATTTGAAACACCTGAAATATTAATTTGACTCTTGTAAACACACAACATGCATAAAGTTAAATAAATTTAACTAATGTTGAAAGCAATTACCTCCGTTCAAAAATCAGTTATACCTGCACAAACTATGACTCTCATCCAATACATGACATAGTAACCACATTCAAATACCTAGACTATCAATTTGACTCCGGTTAACATGCAATACACAAAAGTAAATAAACTTAACAAATGTTGAAAGTAATTACCTTTGTCGAATAATTATTCATACCTGCACAAACTTTTGTGTATTATATGTGTTTAGGAGCATATTTTGGAAAAATTGTTGGGACAAATCCCCTTTGGGATTTGCGCCTTGTTCTTCGTCTTTTTCTTTTCATTTTGATATGTTCTGCGTCCAAATCTGACATCTCAGTCAAAATTTATCTTACTTCGAACATTTTCCGTTTTCTTTATGATAAAACCCTAAACTTAAACCCCCAATATACTATATTTCTGTACTTGTAATATACAAATTACAACAACAAAAAAGTAGGATTTAAATGCATAAACAAATAATCATAATCTAGTGGAGATATTCATATAATAACGGAATTGAGATCCCAAAAATAATCACGAATTCAATTTGAACATATAACATAGAACACTAACATCGAGTATACATGAAAACGATTTAAAACTCGAATCCAATCGGGGAGAAACGTCAAATTCGGAAAATGGGACACAATGTTAATGTTTTTCACAATCAAAATGGTCAAAAATGGTGTGGAAATGATCGTTGTCGTCATTATTCTCATCGTCATTCTAAAAAATTCTTATTGCGTGAGACGAGGGAGTAACATTAAAATAGAATAAAAACTATTTTTTATGTCGCACCTAAAAAGAGACGACGTAAAAAGACCTCTTTTACGTCATACCAATAAAGATGCGACGTTACGTCACATCTTTTTGAGTGAAAAGTGAAAAATAAAAAATCAAACCAATTTTACATTGCATTCAAAAGGATGTAACGTAAACTACCCTTTTTACATCGCATCCTATAGATGAGACGTAAAGTCACCTCTTTTTAAATACGACGGAAAAGTCGTGTCTCATATCTACAAAATTTTCATCTTTTTTTTTTCTTAAGTCGGATATTTTTGATACAATGAGAAGTGGACGACGTGAAAGACATTTTTTGTACCAGTGATAATACAACAACTTATATTTGTTTGAGCCACTTCTTATCTTTGTGATCCGGACATGAACAGAGAGTAGTAGTAATAAATGGTTAATATTGAACAAGTGTTTTATAGAGAGAAGGAGAGAGAAAGCAGAAGTAGTGGATGGCACTGGAAAAAGGGAAATGAGTGAGTTTTTGGGTGGATCATTGGATGCTTTGAAGAGTTTTTGGATTATGAAAATGTCAACCTTGTAAATATCCAAAAGTCAATTGCTTTTGCGAGGCATTATCTCTCATGCTCTTGGATCCTTATGAGTAAAGGGAAAGAGGTGGGAAACACTATCGATTGTCAACAAAAGGGAGGAGGTTGGTGCTTGGTGGATCTCAACCACAAAGTTGGGTTTCAGGGTTCAGATGTGGTAGCTAGCTTGCAGGCCTAAAACTTATTCAACACTTAATCGTAATTAAAGCATTTAGATTCTACACTGGGATACACTAGTGTTCTTTAAGCCACTTCTCATCATTCACTTTTTTCTTAATCACTAAATACATACACTCATTAAAATGTTATATAAATTAATATTTCCCATGCATGCCTACTTCGCAACCATGGACAATATTAGGTGACTTCACCATGACGAAGCTAGATTTCAACATTACATTAATTATCACACTCCATGTTGTCCAAATGAAAGTAGACATGTGCGTACATTATGTATACTAGGAAACGATGTTTGATGAAATAATTAGGTATATACTGAAGCTATCAATTCTACAGTTTTTTTTTCTCTGCAAAAAAGTTTCATCAATGTTATATTGTTGAGGAGTTGGTATATTCTCTTTAAAATTATGGGTAAATTATTTAGAGATAGTTATAAATAATGATATTCATGCCAATCTACAATCGATTAGTTTTTTTATATCCATTTTGAATGGACATAAAAAATAATATCTTAATTGCTTTATAAGACTAGCTGCAAATCAAATTATTCTTTTTTTTTTTTTACATCCAATTTTTTATAAAACACATGATTTCTTATACAACTGATAATAACCCTTGCGAAAGTCATCGGAGGAATATGAAGCCACTTATAAATCAAAGTTGACTTACAAGTGGACAATTACTGGGTGCATGCATGCAATGGAGAGGTCATGACAACATATAGTCTTAAATCATGTGAATAACATTTCTTAGTGCTCTTTACTCACTCTCCTACAATTTTATTCAACACGGTTCAATTAATTATACCCATTAAGTAAATTCATAGAATTCACACACGTATTCAAGTTATAATATGGAAAAAAGGAAACACATGTTCACGTTTTCTTCTCATCCAATCATGTTAATTATTCTACACTTTGTATATGTAGATTTCATTCACATTTTTTAGTGCAAATTACATATTTATACGCTTTAGTTTTTAACGATTTTCATTTATTACTTGTTTAACGACGAAGGCACATTCTATTGTTAGTTCATTTTAAAAAAAATTACAATATTATAATTTTTGTTTGTTTCGCATATAATTTTAATGATTTTAAAAAAGTTGAGTGTTTATAAAATTTTGTTTAAAAAAAACATTACAAGTATATTATTGATAACATTTAGCAAACATCCACTGAATAGTTGGTGGTGGCCAGTGGATGTTTCTTCAAATTGATCTTGATTATTATGTCATGGCCCCAAAGTTCGAGATAAGGTATCATATTTGAAAAAAGTAAATTACCCTTTTAAGTTAAAAACCCACTTTTACTCTAATGATACTGGGTTGTCAATTTTGCCTCAACTTGAACTTTGATTCATCATTTATAGGTTAGTGAATAAGTTAATTATTATAGTCAAATTATTATTTAATTTATAACTTTTTACTGTAAGATGTTTTAATCTACAACAACTTATGACATAAATTTAATTGTATATCTCAAGTTCAAAATTCTCTAATAAAGCAATCTAAATAAATCACATTCATAAGTCTAGGCTAGCGTGTTTTTTCTGTAATATAACGATGTTTTTATTTAAATAATTTTCTTATAAAGAGGAGCAATTTGAAAAAAAAAAGTTATTTTTTTAATTTCACCCATATTATTAATTTTGGTAATAAAATTATTATTTCCCCGATGCTACAAGTAAAATCTTATGCAGAATTTTGGGAGTACGAATAACAGAGAAAAGAAATAAAAGAAAAATCGAAGTGAAGCCAATTTTATGGGATCCTGCTAACATTTTAACCCTGCAACCAAATGTGATGCCAAATATTTGTCCGTCTTTTTTGTCCACTCTCCCTACCTTTCTTCACTCTTTACGTACGTACACTGTACTACTACTACCACCCCTCTCTCTCTCTCTCCCTCATCCATCCATCATCTACATCATCGCATGTACATGCACTCATGCATGCATGCATAACATATCACATCATCATCACCCTTCATTTTGAAACATGCCTTCATGAAGAGAGAGAAGCTTCACTGTTGGTATGCCTGCGTGCCTGCAATATAGTATCTTTTTTCTGCACAAAGAGAGAGAAAGCGAAAGGGTTTGCAAATAACAGGGAAACTGAGTCGTCAAAAAATCGTATCTGTTATGCGCTTGTGCTGTCCTCTCATTTATATCTCTTTTTTCATTTATTTGCTTTTCATTTTAGCATCACACAGTGACCATGAGTAAAGAGGAAACGAGTTTGGTACTGCAGGAACAACCAAAAATGGAAACAAAAAATTAAAACAATGGCTCAGTAGTAACAAATTAAAGTCCCTTTAATTGCCCATTGGTTGTTTCTTTCCTTCTCTTTGCTTTTTCCAGCTACATTTTTACAACAGCTATTACATTATAATTATTATTACATTACATGCCACATTTATTTTATGTTATGCTACATTTCACGGTATACACAGTATAATAATAATATTAGTATTATATTATCTCAGAGACAATACATAAAAACACACAACACATTCTTTCTTCCTCAGTTCATGTTGTTCCATCTCTTTCCCTTTCTTTCTTTCTCTCACAATCTCGAGATTGGTGTGTGGGGGATAAAGACTACTGTAGCCCCCTTGAGGCTCTCTCCTTAGTTGGAATTTGAGGGAACTGAGCACCATCTAATGAAGGAGAGTGGAGGCTCTCTTGGACAAGAGAGCCTGCCCGAGACTAACACCAACAACAAGAGCAGTGAAGAAGAGCCAAACTAGTTTCTTTCTTTCTTCCTTACTCACTCACTCCATTCCCATTTGTTTTTCTGTCTAAAAGATTACCTTAGTGGTAGTGTGCATTATAGAAAGTAGTGCTTTGGGGTGTGATATTGTGAGATGGCACTTTCTATGCACAAGGACTCAGCCAACAGCCAGATGGATTCAAGCAAGTATGTGAGGTACACACCTGAGCAGGTCGAGGCTTTGGAGAGGGTCTATGCCGAGTGCCCTAAGCCAAGTTCTTTGCGGAGGCAGCAACTCATCAGAGAGTGCCCCATCCTTTCCAATATTGAACCCAAACAAATTAAAGTTTGGTTTCAGAACAGAAGGTGACCCTTTGCAATTAACCCAAATGCCAAAATCCTCCGTTTCTAATTCTCTCTTAAGAAAAGCCTTCACCTTCATCTTCACTGCTATTTTTATCTCTTCTCAATGAAAGAAAGTAACTTAGGCCTGCCCGAATTTCTTATAATACCTTGTGGCTTCTGTTTTTTGGGTTCTTACAAGACATTGGTGGATTTGGTATGTAGGTGTCGTGAGAAGCAGAGGAAGGAAGCTTCTCGGCTGCAGACAGTGAACAGAAAGCTGACTGCGATGAACAAGCTGTTAATGGAAGAGAATGACCGTTTGCAGAAGCAGGTTTCTCATCTCGTTTACGAGAATGGATTTATGAAGCAACAGATACAAACTGTAAGGACCCCTCTCTTTCTCCCATTCATTTTGTTCATGCTTTCGGATTAAAAAAATTTAATGGATGAACCACCGTTTGGTTTGAACAGGCCTCTGCTGGCACCACCACAGACAATAGCTGTGAGTCTGTGGTAATGAGTGGTCAGAATCAACAGCAAAACCCAACTCCTCAGCATCCCAACAGGGATGCTAACAACCCAGCTGGGTAAGTAAGAAACTGTACTACTTTTTAGCATATATTATACAATTGTTCATTTCAGTGTTTCCACGGTAGTAACATGTTTTTTTTTTTTAATGTTTCAGTCTTCTCGCCATAGCAGAGGAGACCCTGGCAGAGTTCCTTTCCAAGGCTACTGGAACTGCTGTCGACTGGGTCCAGATGATTGGGATGAAGGTATATTCTGTTGAACTAACATCAGTACTTGTTTCTTACTTATGCTTGTATGCAGGAATTATTACCATGTAGTCTAAAACATGTAAAATTTGTTCATTTTCGTTAACGTGATTTTGAGTAATTATTTTGTGGTTTGCATTGGGTAGCCTGGTCCGGATTCGATTGGAATCGTTGCTGTTTCCCGCAACTGTAGTGGGGTGGCAGCACGAGCCTGCGGCCTTGTGAGTCTAGAACCCACTAAGGTGTGATTTTGTATCCCTCATGTTCCTTTGATTCTCATTGTTACAATTGATCAGTGCTTTTTCTGAATTTTTGTTGTGTCTGTTGCTTATGTCAGGTTGCTGAGATTCTTAAAGATCGGCAGTCGTGGTATCGTGACTGCCGTTGCGTGGACGTGTTGAGTATAGTCCCCACAGGAAATGGGGGCACCATTGAGCTCATGTACATGCAGGTCTTGTGGGCATTTTCTGCACTTTGAGTGATTTAATGATTGATTTCTTGGCCTTTTTGTTGATATTTGATTATTCTACCAGACATATGCTCCCACGACATTGGCAGCTGCACGGGACTTTTGGACACTGAGATACACGACAAGTTTGGAAGATGGAAGTCTTGTGGTATGGAGAACACTAGAGTCTGCTGTGTTTTTTACATAGCAAACATTTGCCCTGCCAAAGTGGCTGTTAATTGTTCTTATGCTGAAAATGGTCATTTCTTGAGCTGGTCCCGGTATTCTCTCTCTTGATGAGAAGGGGAGAAAATAAATTTCCACTTAGTTTATTACACAATCTAACTTCCATTGGACAAAACTTGGTTTCTTTTTGCTTATGTTCCACCTCCTTTCTGCCATTGACTATTTGTGCTTTGTTTGATGTTGGTTCTGTTCTGAAACATTTGAAGCTTTGGCGTGTAGGGTATTACTTAAGAGCGTGTTCTATCAGAATATAGAATGATTATTTTTTCTTCCTCGAAGGATTTTAATACTAATTTGGCTCACTGTAATTATCATGCTGACTGGCAGATATGTGAGAGATCGTTGACATCCTCGACTGGTGGCCCCACAGGGCCTCCTTCTACAACCTTCGTAAGAGCTGAAATGCTTCCCAGTGGTTATCTCATTAGACCTTGTGAGGGTGGTGGATCCATTATTCACATAGTTGATCATATTGATTTAGATGTAAGTAAACGAACTACATCTCTAAATCATATTTAAATCTCTGATCCATTGCTCAGTATTTTAACATTATTATTTCTTTTAGGTATGGAGTGTCCCTGAAGTACTGAGGCCCCTGTACGAATCATCAAAAATCTTGGCTCAGAAATTGACCATTGCTGTAAGATTAATTTCTTGTTTAATGGATTAGATTTTTAACTTGTTGAAATATCACTGTCAAACTTTAAAAAACTTAACTCTGCAGGCCCTGCAACATATAAGACAGATAGCACAAGAATCAAGTGGAGAAATTCAGTATGGTGGGGGACGTCAGCCTGCTGTATTGAGAACATTTAGTCAGAGACTTTGCAGGTGAGGTTTTAGTGTCATTGTTATGTAGAACTCGTGCATTATGCATTTGAATTATTTGCTGGTTAGTTTTTACACATGATTTGAGGTAGTTGCAGTTGACTGATTCATATTTCATATTCTTGCTAAATTTCAAGCCTGTTATAAGATTTTGTTGAACCAAATTCTTCAGGGGCTTTAATGATGCTGTGAATGGGTTTGTTGATGATGGTTGGTCGCTGATGGGTACTGACGGGGTGGAAGATGTGACTATTGCCATAAACTCTTCTCCGAACAAATTTTTGGGGTCCAATTACAATGCCTCCATGTTCCCAGCATTTGGAGGTGGGGTCTTGTGTGCCAAGGCATCAATGCTTCTGCAGGTACTTGAGAAGCAAACACTTCTATGAACTACACCCTTAGACTAATATGCGCATTTCCTCCTTTTCTTAATATTCTAAGCATCTGTTAAATTCTGATTGTAATCTTCTCTTGAACAATGGTTCCCTACAGAATGTTCCACCTGCTTTGCTAGTTCGATTTTTGAGAGAGCATCGATCAGAATGGGCTGATTATGGGGTTGATGCATACTCTGCTGCCTGCCTTAAAGCTAGTCCCTATGCAGTTCCCTGTGCAAGACCTGGTGGCTTCCCCAGCAACCAGGTCATTTTACCTCTTGCTCATACTATTGAGCATGAAGAGGTATTTCTTTTCTTGATTATGTGTAAATTTTCAATCTCTATTTTGACAGTATAATTTATATTCTATGCTAAACTGTGGCATACTGCAATGGTAAAGTTCCTGGAGGTGGTTCGCATAGAGGGTCATGCATTTTCTCCCGAGGATGTTGCCATGGCACGAGATATGTATCTATTGCAGGTAATTATTTTGAATTATTGGCTGTTTCCATACGTTATTAACTATTGGTATTTCAGTGTGACACGGACACTTAATGACCTTTTGCTTTGCAATTTGATGTGGCAGCTTTGCAGTGGAGTTGATGAAAATGCAATCGGGGCATGTGCTCAACTTGTGTTTGCACCTATTGATGAGTCGTTTGCGGATGATGCTCTGTTACTGCCATCTGGTTTTCGTGTCATTCCATTGGATCCTAAATCAGTTGAGTGTAATTTCTTTGCAATTTGTATGGTTTTTTTACTAGGACTTTGTTATGAGACTACTCTCAAATACTTTGCCGGTAACTATGGTAGTATAACCCAATTACTGACACAAACATGTTATAATGATCTTATGCCTATTCAAATGTGCTAATATTCACAAGATCTTGAAAGTTATCTAGGCTAAGCTTAAAACTGAGACTGATGGCAATACATGTGCTGTGTCAAGTTACTAAATGTCCTGTTTCTGGTTCTGATGCATCTCAGGATGCTCCATCTGCAACTCGGACATTAGATTTGGCATCAACAATGGAAGTAGGATCTGCTAATGCTCGTCCAGCCAGTGAAGCTGATGGCTACAATCTTCGGTCGGTCCTTACTATTGCTTTCCAATTTACCTTTGAAAATCATACACGGGACAATGTTGCTGCAATGGCTCGCCAGTACGTGCGCAGTGTTGTTGGATCCGTTCAGAGAGTTGCCATGGCAATTGCTCCTTCCAGGCTTAATACCCAACTGGGTCCAAAGTCACTTCCTGGTTCACCAGAGGCCCTTACCTTAGCACGATGGATATGTAGAAGCTACAGGTTTGTCTTCTATTAATTTTTACAGCTAATCTGTTATTTCAGTGTGCTCAATTTAGCTTTCTGCGTGTTTTATTTCTTTGTATTAGTGTCGTGTTTTAGTAGTTGTTAAATTGCCTTTGGAAAAGTGTGTTGTCCATAGATAATCCTTATTAGCATAATCTGTACCAGTAGTTGGTAATTGAGTTGAATTCTGTTGGAACGTGTGATTAGATTAAATTTTTGCTCGAATTACGCCCCAGATCTTATTCTGTTTGGTCTGACAGTATGTTGTGTTTCCTTTAAGGATCCACACTGGGACAGAGCTTTTTAGAGTCGAGTCCACAGCAGGAGGTGATGCAATCTTGAAGCAACTTTGGCACCACTCCGATGCAATTATGTGCTGTTCTGTGAAAACAAATGTAATCACTTCTATTGCTTCTTTAATTTATTTATTGGAATTGAAAAATCAATTAATTGTCAGAGGACTTTTTCATAATAATATTATATGCCATATTTTCTGGAAGAATGTGCAATATCTTTCCGTTGAGTTGTGTGTACTTCTAAAATTATTGCAGGCATCTCCGGTTTTCACCTTTGCTAATCAAGCTGGGTTAGACATGCTCGAAACTACTCTAGTCGCACTTCAAGACATTATGCTTGATAAAGTGCTTGATGAATCTGGCAGGAAGATTCTTTGCTCTGAGTTCTCCAAGATAATGCATCAGGTACTTAAAAGTGAACTGTACTTTCTGTTAATTTTGGGTATATGGTCCTTGGAGGTAGAACTGCACTATGGGTGTGAATTGGATAAATTTGTCTATTGAGTAAAACATATTTAACTGTAACGCCTGTAATTTTACCTTGTACACAATGTGAAAAATAGCAAGAGATTGATGAATCTGTAGTTTCAATTTGAATCGTCAAGGGGATCTAATTAGTGCGTTATTTAAATTTCCTGACATGTGTTGGTTCCTATGGATAAAAAATTTCTTATGCAACATTCTTTATTTTGTTCTGTTTCTTTTCAGGGTTTTACTTACTTACCAGGTGGGATATGTGTATCAAGTATGAATCGGCCAGTGTCTTATGAGCAGGCCATTGCATGGAAAGTCCTGAATGATGATGATTCTAATCACTGCCTAGCCTTCATGTTTATGAATTGGTCTTTTGTATGATGGAGGAACTATATTTTATCTGCTAATTTATATTCAGTACTTAATTACCAGATGATACTATCACAGACCAATGTACTAATGTCATCTCTACTTTGTGCCATATGTATGGTATTTTATTGCTATATAAAAGTTCTAGTAATTTTGGAGAATTCTTTCATGGTTTCAATTCCAGCGTTTAGTAGGTAGGAAAAATCTTTTACAGACTGTGTGCAGTAACCTTCTATTGATGGCATCCTTGTTAAAATGGTGTTAATGGTTTTTGCTCTATGCTTATCTGGGTGGAGCATGTTTTCTCTTTATCTCCTTCACAAACCAACGATGATAATCATGGTGCCTTGTTTGCTTCTAAAGCAAAAGTGTGCCTTGATTTCAATTTTCAATACCCTAAGTCTAACAGAAAGCGTTTTTCTGAACTAATATTTTAACCATGTACTTGGGAAGAATTTGGACACATGGTATCTTTTGCTTTAAAGGTAAAAAAAGCAACTTTTGTGCGGGACTCTATTTGGTGTTCAAAAGAAAATAGAATGAGAAAGACTGGAAAAGAAGATTTGAAGATTATTTGATTGAAAGGAAAATGAAAATTGGTTTCTTTATTTGATCCAGGAAGATAAGGGAAATATAAGAAATATTTACATAACGAATCATTGTTCTAAGGCTTCGTATTTTTATGTGGTATATAAGCTTTGATTTTTTGTTGTTAAAGAGAATACAGAAGAAATTTGACCAAGGGTGACATTGTGCTCAGTGTGTCACTAGTCAGTCTATTCAGAACGTATTAGGATTTAATAGAAATCTAACTGAAATGCAGTGTGTTATGCATCTAGCTGTATTAGAAAAATTATAAAATATGTTAATTTAAAATATATCTCAAGTGTTTTTTATGCTGCATAAAATGTTGTCCCAACAAGGAATCTGCTAAGGCTGCAAAGGTCAGTAATAGCCCTCTCCCTCGTCATTCAACAAGATATGTTTGCGTCATGGCAAACATTCCACGTAATGGGCATGTGGGGATGGACCAAAAAAGAAAAGGGGTATGAAGAGTCCTCTAATCTTGTCCAAGGATATGATATGATGACTATGTGCAAGATGGGGTAATTGTGAAAGATTGTGTCAGAAGAAACCTATACCAAATTCAACCTCATTACATTGGAAAAAACTCAAAAACATTATAGAGTGGAAGAGAACTTTCTGCATGACAAGGATGCACATGAAAGTGACACGCAAGTAATAGATGCACCTACTCACCTACACTTCCCATTGTTGTGATGGGTTTGTGTCTTGTGAAGATGCTGACCACGACAGAAGTAACACCATTATTATGCAACACAAACCAACCTTATGCAATGTGTGAAACAAGGGGATATTGTGGTTAGAAATTCTTTAGCATAAAAAGGGTTAGTTGTCACAAGTGATGATGTTTGTTTTTGTGCCCGAATGTTTCTTTCCGTTGGAGAAGGAGTTTGATGGCGAGATCAAAGGAAGAGCTTATTGCGGATAGTGTTGGTGCTCATGTTGCATGTCTAAAGGACAAACATAAATGCTATGAAGTTTGACATGAATAAAGCTCATAAACTTTGGTGGAGCAGTGCTTTATAGTGACAATGATGAAGCTTTGAGATTTAATTGAGACATAGATTAGCTTAATGATGCTTCGTGTACCTATTCAAATTAAATGGTCCAACGTATGTGCTCCAAGAAGAAATTCAGGTGGTTCATGTCTTCACATTGGCTACTTGCTTTCTAGCAGCATTCAAAAGATGAATGCTTTGTTATTAAGTTTTAATTTGACTTAATATAAAAACTAGAATATGCATTGGGGGATAGAGATATGTGGGGCCCACAGAATCTGGCTTACAAATTAGATTAAATATATATGGTCAAAACAAGGGATGACGACATGGTTCTGTTGATCCATCACAACACAACACAACACAACTCTGTGCCTGTCATATCCCTCCCTACCTTATCCGATGGATTCTGTTCCTCTCTCTCATCTCACCATTCTACTGTCTGTCACTACTAATTTCAACCATGGAATTCCATTGTCTATGTGGTTTATTTATTATCTGCTTTATTTCAAATACCGCCTTAAAATGAGACAATTTTTTTATTGTAGTTTTGTTTATGATTTAACAATGACAGAGACATTCATTGCATTGCATTGCATGAGTGATAGGAGTGAATTTGATTTGAGTGACAAGGGAGGATAGACAATTAGGTAAGCCCCAGGCCCCACACGTGTTGCCTATATTTGTCTCTTATTCCATTTCCGTTCATCCAAATACTTACCATTTCACACTTTCCATTTGCCAATTCAAGCTCATCATCTCTTGTTACTGTCTTTCAAATGTCCCCCCATCTCCCAATTACTCACCCACTTTCCTTCTTATCTAACTAGTTTTTATTTACAGACATATATGCTGATAGGACTACTCATATATATGTTATTTCCTAATTCTACCACTATCTAAATACCAAAAATATAGAACCAAAACAACTGAACAACATGATAACTTTATAATGTAGCTGAGGGTAAAAAAATATAGCCAGAATTAGACTTAAATTTATAGTTTGGAATTACAGTTCCAAATTCATTCCCCAAAACATTTTACTTTTTTATTTGAAACTAAAAGGTAAAAAGAACTTTTCAATCACATGGCATGTAACTATCATACTAAATTTTTCTCAATTGATGAAACCTTCTACCTCCTACATTAATACTGACTCAGAAAGTTCATATATAGTATGCATGTGTGATGTGAATGTATGTCCCCACAAGCAGCATACAGAGATATCATGAACATAGTGATGCATGGGAAAAAGATGATGATGATGATGATGATGATGCATGGATAAATAAACACAGAGAGTGGGAAATAAATATTGTATTAATGAAGGGTGTAATTTGTTTTGGGTGGCTTTAGGATGATATCCTTTTCAGCGTTTGAAATTCGAGGCGTTTTAAAGTTTGAGTGCGAAAGGCACTCTGGTTTCGAGCCTCGTGCCCTATTTTACACTCTCATTCTCCTTCTCTCCTTACCCTTCCACGAATCTTAATTATTTCTTACTTATTATGCTCTTTTCTTTTCACATAACAGTCTAAGCTACCCTTACATGATACAAACAAACCTTTTAAAACACAATCAACCAAATTAGTTCAGATGAGATTCTAACTCAGACTTTTCTTCAAATTTAACTAATTTCACAGTAATTGGGTTGATTAGGATAATCATTGAATTTAATTTCAAAATAATTGACGTGTGGTCTAAAGGGTAAAGCCTAAAAACCTTAAACTCTTATAATTAGGATATAAGAGGAAGATTGTCTGTAATTGTGGGTGAATGTTGGGTTATGGCGAGTGCAGGGGCGGAGCAGAAAGACGAATGAAAGAGGAGAGAGTGTGTTTATCCATGTTCCGCGTGAGACCCCTCGCTTTCCACTTTTGTTTATAGCGGTTATCATATGTGTGTCTCACGCCTCACATGCACACACACAACACACCCTCTTTTAGGACTACACTACACCAAGCAAAATTCCCTTTTTCTTTTCTTTTTATTTACTTGTGTTTGAATTAAAGATTCTGAATAAGCGTGCCTTTGGGCACTGTTTGGTTCCTCCACAACAAGATAAAGGGCAAAGATCTTCAGCTTTTCAAAATCCAAGGAAAGTGAGTGAGTGAGTGAGTCTGGCCTCACACACACACACACACACAAAAAAACCTAGCCAGTGTTGGTTGTTATGTCACATAGGATGTGGTAGGCTTTGTGATGCCTTGGAGGGTATCTGAGCCTGACCGAGGAGGGAAAATAAACATATCTTTCCGTTGCAGCTTTGCAGGGTTTTTAAGATTTTTAGCAGGCCAAATTAAAGAGGGTGAAGAAGTTGTGCATAATAGGCCACTAGACTATCATGGTCTGTAAGTTCTAGAGTGTTAATTTGAGAAAGTTGTTGACTGCCACTTTGGGATTTGGTTTTTCTTTCTTTTTGCTAAGTGGGTTGGGAGGGGTCAGAGTTCTTGGTTGTTACCCCTTTGGTTGAATCAAATGCTACGGGTTTTGGATTTGGATTTAGATTTAGGCAAAATCACCAGAATAATTTGTAGAGCAGAAAATGTTATACTTTTCTGTCAAATTGTTACAGAAAACTTTTAAAATGATTTGGTTTTATGTTTTGTGTTTGGCATCTTTAAGTAGAAGGTGTGCTAAGATTAATATTACTTATATTTTCTAACATATGATATATTAATTATATGTTTTTTATTTACGGAGTTGGAAGAAGTAAATTTGATGGATTCATTAAAGTCTGAATTTTCACTTAACTTGGTGCATTTACCACAGGGGATCTCTGTGCTGCTACACTCACTAGGCAGAAATTGGACTGTGTTAAATGAATGCATGGTGTAGACTGAAGTACTGAACAATGTTTTTACGTTGCATTTGCAGGATAACAGCACACATTGTCTGCAACATTTATCAACTTGTACCAAATGGTGTTCAACAAATTTATGCAGATAACTGTTCAAAACCAATTCATCAATTATGTTTACTGTTCTTCATTCACTGCTAATTAATTTTCCTACAGGATTTCTCAGCAAAAGAAAAGGGTATTATTGAACATTGAAATGCTTGGTCCAAAGTTGAAAGTGACTATTTTATAATTTGAGGGGCTTTAAAGTCTGAGCGCTACAATGTTGATTATTGCCTTACTTCTGGATATCATCTCAAAAAATATTATCATTGTTTTTTGGTGCATTTACTGACATTAATTGTAACCAGAGAGCACTTTAATGGAAGGAAATAATGTACTATCATGCTTGTTTTGTGGACCATCATCTGACTAGAAAGTAATTCTGGATCAAACAAAATTTTCATCACACTGAAAAAGGAAGTGCACAACTCAGAATTTCTGTGATTCTTTATATGAATGACAACTTCTTTGTATGTGATTTTATACATAATTTGTTTTTGAAAGACAACAAATTTGGAGAGTGGGACTTAAAAACAACAAAAGTGAGTATATTTAGTGTATGATAAACATTTGTTTTTAAAACAACCTGAATTAATTTAGTTAAACTTAAAATAAGTATTTCTGAAATATTTTTTCAGAAGAAAATATACTAATTTTATAAGAAAATAGTTTCTTCAAACAAATTCTCAAATAAATATTTTTAAATAAAAAATATATATTATATTTAAGTTTTACCAAAGTGTTGAGCAGTACTATCGCACTATCTGAGTAGTTTTCATATATGAAATAAGTTTAATGAAATTGTTATTAAAATAGAGTAATGTTAATTATAAAATAATATTTAAAAATAGAATATCATAATTGATAATACTTAAAAACTAAAATAAAACATAAATATATTATCATACTTGAAGTAGAATTATAATAATATATTCATTAAAAATAATTAGAGTGCATGTAAACAAAAAAAAAAAAACTCTTTTATTGATGAGATCTTGTAAAACTTGCTCCACCGTAAACAAAATTCTCAGGAGTTAGAAGTTCAAAATATTTTATTAATAGATCTTAACATTATAACACTTAAATGATCCATTTAGTTCTTAAATAGGGTGATGTTAATTTAATTTTTAAAATAATGAAAAAATAAAAATTTTCATCTAATGTAATTTTAAGGACTAATTTATTTCTTTGCACATTTAGAAACTACACTTTTTTTTGTTTTTTTGAATATATAAAAGAAAAAAAGAGTTTAAGATTAAAAAAAAATAATTTCGGAGTACTACTAGTGCTGAGAAACTTTAGTGCTTTCATTGCAAAAAAAAAAAAAAAAAGAATAAATTGTGAACTTAAAAAAAAATGAAAAAAAAAAGTGAGTGGAAGTTGGGAATAAAGTGATATTTGTAAAGTAAATATGATGGAGGGGACATATTTTTAAAATGGAAAGTGAAAGAGCAAAAAGAAAAGAAAAAGGTAATTGAAATGGGCCTTTTGACTTAAGATGTAAATTGCAGTTTAAAAGATTAGGGCCCATTAAGAACTCATTCTTTTTGGGGTTGACATTTGCTATTGCCATTGCCATTGTTAGTGCTTTTTACCTTTTTCAGCCAACTTTAACCTTTTTCTCCAACTACTTCTGTCATTCAAATATTTTTAATTGTTAGGTTGTTACTTTCATTATGCAATATAGGAACAATGAAAAAAATATTTTTTATTTTACTTATATATTTTCTAAATCTTAACTTCAAACTTATATTTTATTATTCCTTCTCTTGAAGTAGATACTTCACTAACCATTATGACTAACAATTATTGTTTGTTAGTGTTTCATGTCTGTCCAACATCACTGTCATCACCAATGTCTTGGATAATCATGTTGCTACTAATCTTGCATCAAATTCTCTATTTAGAACAAAAAAAATATATACTTATTCATAATTATTTAGTTATGGTTGTCTTTTTGTTTGATGAAAAACCCATGTCAATAAAAAAACATTATCAGATCATCCCATTATCTAATATCATCGTTTCGTGTGATTAAATAATGTCATCCCATTATCATTTTAAATTTTCATTAATCTTTTTCTTTCAATACGTTCGTTTGACAATTTTTTAAAAGTAAATTGGTGAACAAAAATCCACTTTCATGTGTTATATTAAGATATCATATTCTTCAACAATTACAATAAACATGTTAATTCTTTAAACTAACCCAATTATTCTTGGCTTCTTTTTGCTCCTCCATAATTTTTTTTATCTCTATAATTAAAATAAATTCTAATTTATCCTTATATGTATCTTCTTTTTAAACTGCGTGTTTCAAAAATGTGATTTTAAACAATTAAGTCATAATACATTTTAGATTGATGGTTATAAAAATATATTCCAGATCAGTTATTCTGACACTTATTTTTAGGCACGAAACAATCTAGATTTCTATGTACATTTTTAGTTCATTTTGTATTTGTTATTGAGATCAGTATTCTCTAATAGGTAGAAAGTATTATACGTTTTAAATTGAACAATATAGATTCTCATGTATATTTTTAATTCATTTTGACATTAAGACGAGTATTATTTAATAGAAAAAAAAGTATTAAACACTTTTAACTTTGTTGTGAATTTGAATATTTATTTTCAATAAATTTTGTATATCACAAATTATCTCTTCTAGGAAAAAAAAGTGAAATATGTACTATGAATGTATGAATGCATACTAAAATTATGTAAAATATAACAAATTAAGTAAAACTAAATTATGTTAATTTTTTTATAAAAACAGGTTAAATGCATGATTTATGAAGAAAATAATTAGTTTAGAAAATATTATTAAAATAATAAATAAAAAGTAAAATGACATATACAAGAGTTCTAAAACGGATAATACCTTAAACATGAGAATTTATCCTAACAATATTATCATAGCGGATATGAGGACAAAACACTTTTGTTCTTAGATGAAACATTGACGCTCACGATGAGGTCGAGAGTAGAATCTTGTTCTCTTAATCCTTGATTAGATAATTTATGTTCAGATACATTTATGAGTTTCACATCACTTAAGAGTTTAGACCAATGGTAGTTTATATATACTATCATCCCTAACCCACATAGACATTTTTTAATGATAAAATCGTGACGAATAAGAATTTAAAAATGAATAATACTTCAAATATAAGTCTACATAAACACCTTTAAAAGATAAAATTGTAAATAAGAATTTAAAAACGGATAAGACAAATTGACTCTAAATAGTAGCTCACATAAAAGTGATATCTCACGTTTCCAAATGACACAATTTCAACAAAAGTTAATAAAAAAATATTTCTATCATTATATATGCATTATGAGGATAGAAGAAAAAAGTACGGAGATGCATGAAGATGAAGCCTTATTCTTAACCTAGTTTGTTTGGGAATGAATGTCTACAGTATGTTGGCTCATGGGCTTCAAATGCTAGGCCCAGGTGTAACCTAACCGTTAAATAACAATTTTAGACTAATATGGATGATTTTTAGATTTATCTCGTACTTAAAAAGTATAATTCTTTATATATTTGAGATTGTTTAATTCAGAATTTAGAATGCATATTATATGTTCCAGATGAGTCTATAAAAAAAAAAAAAAGATTCTGCAGCTTAGAATATTTTAAAATATACTTTTTTCAGATTATAAATCCAATAAAACACATAGGGATAATATTGTCTTTTAACATTAGTATAGGGTGCGGGGTGTAGGAAGAATGGGCCCTAAGTTAAAGACTGCTTTGGCCCAAACAGCATAAAACAAAGAAAAAAATGGACTTTACTTTTAATACCCCTCTTTAGTTCTCACACTTCCTCTCTGAACAATTTTTGGTGATTTTAAGTTCAAAATTAAGATGCTGATTATTAAATATTAATATTAAAAAAAATTTCTTGCCAGTTTTGCATTATTTGAAATATTATTTGTTGTTAATTTGTATGTAATCTCTCTAGTCGGAAAGAAAGACTACAAATTTATTATTATTTTTTTAGTAGTTTATTAAAGATAGTTATATAAAAAGATGTTTATTGTGAAACCTAAATCTTAGTAATAGTAATATTCTTATTTGTAGTAAAATATTAACATTGTATATGAAATTGCATGTAGTATACGTTAAAGGTGAATTATTACTTTGTTATATTCTCTTGACTTTTATTTTTATTTTTTATTTGCTATAACTAAAAAGAAGTGAAGATATTTAATTAATTTAAAGAAATTTAATAAGTTTTCATCAGTAGATATTTTCTACTATTTTGAAATCTTCACAACAATATATTAACTTTTTATAATAATTTATTTATTATTTTTTATGTTTTTAATTTTAATAATTATTATATATAAAATAATTATTGAGATTATGCAAACTCAAGTTTTTTTTTTATAATACTCTTCATAAGATTATATATTATATTTACCCAGTCCCAAGAATACGAAATATAACAAAAATAGTCGAGATATTTGAATTGATAATTTAAAATTTTGAAATTATATATATATATATATATATATATATATATATATATATATATATATATATATGATAAAATAGGACGAAACATTTTGATTATACTCTTAATCTATAGAGGAATTTTGCATCTATTTCATAATAAATAACCAATATATAATTATTCATTGACTTAATTATCAAATGACCTTTTATAAATATTTTCCTCTCATCCTTAATATACTTGAAAAAGATTATAAAGAGTTAGATAGTGATAAAACATAAATAACAAAATATATATAAAGTTATGAAAATAATTTAAAACACAATTAAATCATTCTTTGTGTTTATTTATTATTATTTTTGCACGGGTGGGCATGTAATGGTTGTCTCTATTCCATAAGAAAAACATGCCTATTTATGATTGAGAGAGAGAAAAGGTTGAGTGTTTTGTTACTTTTAAGGGTGTACGTTTATCAGCACGCTAAATAAAATATGGTATTTGTGAAAAGAGAATAAAAACTCTGTATAGTTTCCTTAATATTCTCTAGATCTCTATCTAACTTATTTCTAAATTCTTATAACCTTATATTTGTTTTATATCATTTATCAAGCAGATTTTCATTTAAAGAAAAAAAAACACTATATAGATTTCAGCCATAAATGAAAAATAAGATCTTTATAAAAAAATTAAAAAAAATCTTAGCGTATAAACAGGCATCGTGTCGCATGGGAGTGCTTTGAAAGCGAAATCTACACCATAAAAATAAAGTGGCACAAAATGATAAGATAGTGCGATTTTGGGAGAATAAAGAATGAAAAAGATTGAGGGTACACCAAATAATCGTGAAACTTTTAGAACATGGTGTTGAACGGCACACACACATATATAAAGCCCGAGAAGAGAAGGTGGTAGTAGAGCAGAAGTATCATACTCATTCGCATATGCAACCATGAAATTTGTTGTGAGTGTTTACTTTACACTGTGTCTTGCCTCTGCCATTATCATTGCGATGAGCACAATAGAAAGGGCGAGGTTGTTGTTAGGCACCAGCGAGTACTACGTCAGAGTGATCAATGGTTTCACTGACAATTCCTCTGTGCCGTTGGTCATTTGGTGTTCTTCCGAGGACATGGATCTCGGGGGGCGTGCCCTTCAGGAGCACGATGATTTCAGTTGGGTGATGAGGCCAAGCTTTTGGAGCAGCAACCGCATGAAGTGTACCATGAAATGGGACAGTACCAGGAAGAGTTTCGAGGCGTTTAAGGCTTCCAGAGACTCCGAGCGATGTGGGATTCAGAGGATGTGCTTCTGGATGGTCACTCAAGATGGCTTCTATTTCAGCAATGATGAGGTCAATTGGAGGAAGGATTTCTTGTGGTGAATGTGTGAGAACTGTGATGCCAAGGTTTTCCCTTCATCTTGGATTCACAAAAAACAAATCATCGTTCCTGCTTCTATCTGGGGATCCAATTATTAGAGAATGTGAGAGGATACAGGGTTTTGTAAAATTATAAAAAAATTAAATAAAATAAAATAAATGTCTCCCTGCTTTGTGTTCAAATTAATTATCTACCACACACAATATCATTTTATAGTTATGGTAATATAATAATATGAAAGGGAACACAGTAATTCTGAGTTTGGTATTAATATGAAATGAGTGTGTTTTTTAACAATGACTAATAATATCATATTAATTCTTTGGTTGAAAGATTATCACTTCCTTCCTTGTCTCAGTGCTGTTACAACTTGCAACATTTTTGTTTTATTATCAACCAGTTAACATAGAAACAGTGCAATGTTTCAAATCAAATGTTCATCCACCTTAATTTTTTTTTAATATTCATATTGTTGAATTTATTTCCTAAGTAACACACAGAATCAGACGTTCATGTCATAGAGGTTTACAAACATCCTCGTTTTTTATTGCGCAAGTGTTTTTCCATTAAAACTCTACTCAATCATATTGTTTAAACAAATAGAAGTACGATAGTGATTGTCCCAGAAAGAAGAAGAAGATAATGGTGAAAGATTTAAGTACACAAAAGTCAGCAGATTTAAAATTTTGAGAAATTCTGGCAAAGATTGTGTCCAAATTAATAATGAATACAGGAAATGGCGTGTGTGTTGACATGCAAATTGCAGATTTTGAAATTGCATTTTTGCGGCTACACGAGAAAATCAATTATATTATATATAAAGACGAGATTCTCCACTTCATATTCAATACAATAACATATAGTTAAGATTTATTATCGTATACTATCTGCTTTAAAATTTTAATTTATTATAATTAAAAAAAAAAAACTAGTGTAGAGTAAAGCATAAGATATAAATTAGGGTAGAGAAATAAAAGAAATGGTGTGTGCATGTGTGAGTGAAGTGATGTTGGGGCGTGTTTTAGAAGCACACCGTTGGGGGCACAAATGATAGCATGTGCAATTGACGATGGATGAGAGTCACAAAAAGAGGATGGAAGCACATGCAATAGAAGGGTCAACGAATGGTTAATACTAACACAAGTGGCTACAATAATCTTGTCAATTTCACAACACATTACTCCCAAACACAACTACTATACAATCTTATCATATACTATTTTTATTCTTTTTTTTTTTTCAATTATAAAACGCATGTTGAGATAAAGCTCAAAAAGATGATAAGGTGCGATGTGACTACTAGAAGAAGGGAATGTTTCTCTCTCGAAAAACAAATTCATTAGTAGTTTGTTCCTCTCATCACATGTAAATGAGTTTCTAATAAACAGCCGCTTTATAGATTAAATATTTTATTCATATTTAAATTGAAGTTATTTAAGCAATCAATATAAATATATAAAAGATATATATTGTTACGATCTCTCACATTATTTAAAACTTGAAATTAAAGATATTTTATATTATTATTTTAGACGAAACGATTTAACGAATTTTAAAGTAATAAATCAAAATAAATAATATATTAAATCATATTTTAAAAATAAAATTGTAATAAATTAAAATTTTAAAATAAACAATACATAAAACTTTAAAAATATAAGTATATGAATATAAAATCAAGACATCTGTTTCTTAAATAAAAAATATATATTATTTAATTAATAAAAATAAGTAAAACAAGGATTTTTGTTAGGACGTAAATATATAACTTATTGAATTACATACCCACCCAAATGAAACAAGTTTTAGTATTTTATATTTCGTTATTATTTTATTATATAAGAAAATATAAATTAATTATATAAAAAATAATATTTTATATAATTTATATTTAAAATTTTAACCTATTTTTTCTGTAAAAGTAAAAAAATGAAAACGAAATGTTGAACTTTAGGGAGACTCCCATAATAAGATTTAAGAAAAGAGAAGTGAGATGAATCCCACTAGAAGTAGATGGTGGTCGTGGGAAAGGTTGGGTTTGAAATAGAGATTAATTCCACAACTAAATAATGGAGGGGCACTTCATATACATAATCTCTAAGAAAAGTATATCTGAGGCATGAGTTGGTCAAGATTGAGTTTGATTATCGTACAGAGGAAGAGAAATGATGATTTGTGAGTGACTCTCTGGACACACCCTTGTCAACAACAACAACACAAGTGCTTCCCATACAACTTTGTCACCCACAATTCTTGCATAACCTCTTGTGTTCCTAATTAAACAACAAAACTATGAACTCTCTTATTCAACACACATCCTCCCATTCATATCATTCCTCTTTTGGATCAAAATACCCCAACATCCTCACTCATTTCACCTCTACAGTTTTTATACATCTTAATTTCAAACAAAACAAATCACTAATATATAATATTATTTTAAAATTATTTATATCAATTTTTATATAATTCTTATAAAATGAATTTAGTAATGTAAACCTAGTTGTGTTTGAAATATGATATTATATATTAAGTACCAAGTTTATTCATTTTAAGTTATATTTTATTTTTTAATTAAGTATTTTTCAAAGACAATGTTCAGTTGGATTGTTTTTTTAATAAACAATCTAAAAAACACTTTTACAAAACACACATGTTATAATAACTATATTATTGTTTTGGTAAATAATTTTCGAAGAGAAAAATGCTAAATATACTTTTTTTTATTTACATTTTTTTTATTCGCAAGTTTTTTACTTTACAGTCATTATTATTTCGCTTTCACTTTTCCTATCTCAATTCTAATTAATTATGCGACATTACATGTGTCTAAAGGTTTTTTCTCTTTAATTAAAAAAAATATGTAAATATATATAGATTATTTTTCTTGTTCGAATTATTTATGAGGAACTTTCATTCAATAAATTAATTAGTTTTATTTATTTTTCTTCCTACATTTATTTTTATTTTATTTTTTCATTTTTTTCTTATCTTGTTAAGAGGAGGTCTGTAAAAGATAAATTTATAAATAAGGATGGATTGAGAAAATATATTTAAATCACATTCTCATCAAATGATTTCTTTTCGAATAGTTATTGGTAGTTTTCCGTACAATCACCTTGCAGAAGAGGGAAGAATTTAATCTTACCAAGTTTTAATATATATATATATATATATATATATATATATATATATATATATATATATATATATATATATATATATATATATATATATATACCAAGTTTTAAAATTCAACTAATATGAATTACAAGCGCATGACATGTTTATGAACCACAATCGTTTTCGCCAAATGATTTAACAGTAAGAGGGTCTTATTCTTTATGTAATTTTGGATATTTTAAAATGGTTTCAAGTATGTTAAAATGAATTGGTTTCTCAATATTTCGGATTTTATTATATTTGAGTGTGAAATATTTTCACTAAATATAAAACTGTTTTAACTGATAGGTATAATTATAATTTTTCAATGGTTAGTCAATCGTTAAAATCGATTATAGATAATTATAAATTTTTAATGATTACTCATATATCATATTTAAAATAAAAAAATACGAATGAAAAGGGTAATAATATATTTAATCTAAATTGTAACAGTCTATATTTAAAACACTCTAAATACGAATAAAATGAGTGGGATGAATAGCAAATTGTATGAAAATATTTGGAAATTATATTTTGACGTCAAATCATGTAGAAGAAGAGTTTAAGACGCAAAAATAACTCTTTTTTTTATTTATTAATTGGAACATGCGTATGCAAGTGGATATATGGAATCCAAAATAAGATCCTTGCTCTGGCAAAATCTTTGTGTACATTAAAAAAGATATATAATCATCACACAAGATATTTATTCATAGTTTAAGAACACACTTCTAAATTAATTTTATAATTGTTGTGTTTTATCATTGGACAAAATCTAACTTGTAATTAATCAAAGGACCGTGGGAGATCTAAACAAACACTGTTTACGACAGCAATTATAAAAAAATAAAGTTGATTCATATGATATAATAAAAAAAAATCGTAAGTGGATATGTGCACGTGATGGAGCAGGATTTAAAAATGGGATTGAATTAGGGCATGCAGCTACGTGATCTGACGCGATCGCAAATCATACAACTTTGGAAAATTTTCATTCACCCTAAATAATTTTTTTTGTTCATTTTTTTCTCTTTTCAAAATTTTGCTATATATCTTTTTAATTTGTTAATAAGTGAAAGAAATAAACAACTGTAAAAAAATAAATTTATAATATAATAATAATATTATTATTATTATTATTTTATTAATGTTTTCAGTTAGCATGTCAAATCATCAGTATCCTTATTTTAATTATTAACTCACTTAGATAGATATTAAAATGCTTGTAAGTCAAGGAATAATTAAAATAGGAAAAAAATGTTTAAGAACAAGTGTGTGAAAAAAATATAATCCAAGCTAACTACGAAGTTGGGCTAATTGGCCCAACTCTGATGGATCAAGAACTAAATGATTGGGCTGACTTATTATTTGAGAATTTACTTTTGCTTTTTAAATTTCATGATAGAACTTACCGCATAATTTCTCCCATAATTATATTAAACTCCACTTTATTCTTATATTTATCTTCATTTTTATTTTTAGAATGTATTTTAGATTAATCTTTTCGAAAATACATTCTCTAATTCAGAATGTTTTTTTAAAATTCAACTTCATTTTGATGAAACTGTTTTAGATTAAATAATTTGACTTTATTTATACAATTTAAATATGAGAACATATAATTTATATATAATATTAATAATTACTTATTTTTAATTATTAAAAAATACTTTTAATAAAGGTGATAACATAAAAAAAATTAAATAGCTAAAGAATGGAGATGATGAGGGATGAAAGTGCACAAATTATATATAATAAAAGAAAAAGTTATGGTAAAATATAAAATTATAAAAAAATTATTTATGATATTTGACTTAGGATTCAGAGGAACAGAGGAAAAATTATGGGGTGCAGGAAGGAAAACCTACAACACGCTATGTAAAATCGAATGGACACTCCAAAATAAAAGATTTGGGCTGAATTGGCCCAACTCTCATTGGGTGCAAGTTGAAGGTGATAAAACTGTTCAACCCGATCTATGTTTTTGTCATCATCGAATTGTGTTTGTTTGTTTGTAAATATTAATGATACTGGATGGATAAAGAGAAATATTTTATAGCCAGAGTGAGAAAGAAAGGTCAAGTTTAATGATGTTGTCCCACGAAAGGAACAATTTTGTGAGTGAGGGAAGCTAAGGACAAAAGCTGCATAAAAGGAGAAAATATGGAGAATTTGAAAGAAAATCTTCTTGTTTTTCTATTTTAGGATTTATTGCTACTTTTGAATCCAAACCACGACCAAATGGTTTTAAAAGAGTTAAACTTTCGGCATATATTGGTTGAAAGAATTCAGAAAAACGTAACAAAGAATAATTGAATTTGTGAAAGTAAAATTGCATCGATGGAGTTATTCTTTCCATGTTCTACACTTCTCAACAAAGCACCTCACCAAGTAATAATCTCTATCTTTCCCAAAAAATCAACCTCCTATCTCCTTTTTCGTTTCATTTTTAATCTTTTTGGCAAAATATAGACTTTTTGTTGTTGTTGCGGAATCTACCTTTTAACAACTTTTTGGTCAGTGATTCAGTAAAATGAAGATCACCATTTTCGATGTTACTTCACATTAACTTTCTAATTAAAGGAATAAATTCAAGGATAGTTGTGAAGCCATCCAGTGATGTCTATGTGAGCAATTAAGATTTTTCCAAATTATTTTATATTTTTTGCAAGATTATTCTTAAAGCTTGTTTTGTTTTCTAATTAAAAATGTTTTAGAGATAACGTGATCTACCATAACTTTTGGTATTAATGTATCTAACATCCTTCTGGTCGTGATATTTGAATATCTCAGGCTTTTATAAACTTTTACACTAACATCTCTTTGGTTTAAAACATCATCACATAGTCACATGTTTTTATGTGACGCATGCACCAGTGTCAATTTTGAAAATTTTTTATACATTGTTTGAAAAATATTATAGGAGAAAAATTGTAGTATAAGCTACACCATTGATATTGAGTGTTTTAACTTTTCAAGAATAAAAAATAGTTTTTTAAGACTAAAATTAAAATTGACGATTTTTAGGAATTAAAAATCACATTTTTAAGTTTACATTTTAATTACATTACAAAGTATATATTTATGTACCGTGCTTTTAAATACTAGTTAAATCTTAATCAAGTAGGTTAACCAAAGTCCAAGTTCATATGATTGTTGAAGAAACCAATCATATTTTAATAAGTACGGCGAAAAAACGACATTTTAGTAACTATGAATTTTGACTCACATGGTTGCTGCCATGGCCACATTATGTTAAGCAACTTCCACACTTCTCAAAGAGAAAAAAACCGTCCACATCTGACGACGACAGTGATAGGTGTCTTCCACTACAATCCATTTACCAACGCTGCTTTCATTCTGCTTCCTCACTGTGCGGTGGGTGCCATTTCCTTTATTCCTATCGCCCCATTCTCCCTTGGATTCAAAGTTACTAACTTTTCTGGATATCATCTCGTAAAGTCACCATTTTTTGCTTCCCTTTTGAGGTATGTGCCCCACCTCCCCTCTCTCTCCTCCTTCACTTGAAGGGCGTTGCTGTTCCTTTGTTTTGATTCATTCCTTCACTTCATCATCTATTTGTTTGATTAAGAACAAAATTCTTGCTTCAAAAAGAAAGTATATTTGATCTTGGTTACACTTGCATACTTTATAGTTTAGACCCCTTTTCACATTTTCCTTTTTTAGAAGTTAAAAAAAAAAATGCTGAAGCAAGGAACGGGGTTTAGCTTTCTTGAATCCCATTTCATTGGATATGCTTTTCTTTTGCTGTTGTTTTATGTTATACCTTAGAGACCAAGTGGGGCATAACTCCAAAAACTAAAGTGCTTTTGGTGTCAAATTCTGCAGGTGAAGCTAGAGCTGGGAAGCTCAACATGTCTAGGGTATTGGTTCATCTGTTGGGTGTTTTGTGGGTATGTTGGTGGTTGGCATCAATTGGAGAGGCTCAAGTAGAGTACCTGAGATACAAAGATCCAAAGCAACCGGTTGCAACTCGGATTAAGGACTTGATGAGTCGAATGACTTTGGAGGAGAAGATTGGTCAAATGGTTCAGATTGATAGGAGTGTTGCCAATGCTAAGGTTATGAAAACCAGCTTCATTGGTAAGAATAACTGAGAACTCCTAGCTCTTTTTTCTCTTCTCAGTTAATAGTGTTTGAGTTAAATCTGTAAATTTCATGTGTAGGAGCGAATTTTCTGTGTGCATTTATCTTTCTTTATTTAGCAGTATTTTTTTATTTAGAAAAAATAAGTTAGAAAAAATAATCATACATGTCATTTCTGGTATCTCCCTTTAAAGAAAAGGGTGTGTACATATGGAATGCTGAGAAGAATTCGCGTGTCTAGGAAATTAACTACTTTGTAACCTAACTTGCAGTTTTCTGTTGTGTTTGTGCTTTTTTAGTTGCATTGCATGTTGATTATTTTCAAGTCTGACTAATCTTTAATATTAAATGTTTTAGTGGTGACAAGTCCCCTGTTATTCAATGTTCGTTTCACATTCTTTGCTTGTGATGTCTCTATTCACTTGTGTAGAAAGGTTTTCTTCTGACTAATTATCCCCTGCAAATACAATTCATTTTCATTGATTATATTGTCTTGTCCCAGAACAGAACATCAAATCTTTTTGGTGGAAAGTATTTTGGGGGAAGGGGATGGTACCTCTTTTCAAGGCATGAAAAGTATTTGGGTTCAAAGAGCTCTTATAAAATGTAAAATTTGTCTTACGCTACTTGAACAATACCAGCTCCTTGGGGTTTCCTTTTGATAGTTTGAGTCCTAACTCAGGTGCTGATTAAGTTGTGAACATCCTCTTTACTGCATTCATGGTCAACTCAATTTAATTCACTAAATATAATGTCTGAACATAATATATTATTCCTTAATGGTAATTTAATATCAATCTACATTTAATTTGTACTTACTGCATTTATATATTGTAAATATGAAAACTAGAGTCTAGAGCACAGGCAAGGGATCCTTGAGAAAGTGGGCAAGTTGCAACCTTCGTGCTGTTTCTTTCCTTGGCTTCAATTTGAGTTTTCGTTTCTTTCATACTGTTGTGCACATGTCTTTGTATTTGTTCATTTTTTAATATGTTACTACTTACGAATCTATAGTTTTTTTTTTTTTTGGATATTTTTAATTCTATATTCTCATAACATATAGGTTAGAAAAAATTAGGAATCTGAAAGAAGCCAGGAATGAGTTCTTGATAAAAATTTGAATACGAAATTAAAGGAGAATATGACATTATTAAGAAGTATTATCAATTAACTAGTTATTTAATGTGTGCAGGGAGTGTATTGAGTGGTGGTGGTAGTGAACCCCTTCCAAGGGCTACTGCTGAGGACTGGGTTAATATGATAAACGAATTTCAGAAAGGCGCTTTGGAGAGTAGATTGGGTATACCAATGATCTATGGTATTGATGCTGTTCATGGACACAATAATGTCTACAATGCTACCATATTTCCTCATAATGTTGGGCTTGGATGTACCAGGCAAGTTTAAGATTTATCATCATATTTTTTTATTGGTATGGGTCATATGAACAACATTTGATAGATAATAATAGACTTTTCATATATATTTTGATAATTTACCTAGTCACCTGAACCATTTCACCTGCAGTATACTTGGGTGAGAAGGGAGTGGTTATAAGAAATAAGCCATCAATTCTGTAGGTTCAAAACATAGGTTGTTCCGTTATAATAATCTTTGATAAACAGGGATCCAGATCTGGCACAGAGGATCGGTGCTGCTACTGCTCTTGAAGTCAGAGCTACAGGGATTCCTTATGTTTTTGCTCCATGCATAGCGGTAAATATGAAGGAGTATATTAATGAACTTCTAGAAAAAGAAAATTGTTGACAGGTTTGAGGTTGTCAAATGTTTACTTTTTTCTTTATAGTTTTACTGATTACTCCTGTAATATCCATTATAGGTTTGTAGAGATCCAAGATGGGGTCGATGTTATGAAAGCTATAGCGAGGATGCTAAAATTGTGCAAGAAATGACAGAGATCATACCTGGTCTACAAGGAAGTATCCCTGCCAATTACAAGAAGGGATTTCCATATGTTGGTGGCAAGTATGTAATTAATGATTTTAAAAGCATTTTTGAAATAAGATTGCATTTCATTATTTTTTTTCACGCAATATTCTGGACAAATTTCAAAATTTTACACCAGGTGTCATGTGTGGATTTTGATGCCCAATCTACTGGTTTCCTGTCCATAGAAAAATGATATAGTTTACATATAGTCCATGGATCTTTAGTGATTTTAATAAATATAAACTTTAATATAGTTTACATTTGAAAGATTCTTATGCATTTTAACTTAAGTGTGAAAAAAAGTAACACTATTCCTCTGTATCAGTAACTTGTTGATATGATGTATGCATGTGATTCATCATTTTGGTAACTATAGATCCGATTTTATTTGGATAATAAGGTCTTTTTACTATGTGTTAATATATCATAACTTGACATAGGAGAATTCGCTTCACACCATTAACAGTCCATCTAGTCATATACTAGTCAATTAGTTATATCATCATCAACCGCAATTATTAAGCTGTAATCAAATTGAATAAAAAATATGATGATGCATGATTGACTTGTATTGGATTTTTTTCTCTATCCCTTATTAGGCCTATAAATTGCTTGTAGGACAAAGGTTGCAGCTTGTGCTAAACACTTTGTTGGAGATGGTGGTACAGCGAAGGGAGTAAATGAGAATAACACATTGATTGATTGGCATGGATTATTGAGCATTCACATGCCTGCCTATTCTGATTCCATTATTAAGGGGGTCTCTACTGTTATGGTTTCTTACTCTAGTTGGAATGGAGTAAAGATGCACGCAAACCGTGATCTAGTCACTGGCTTCCTGAAGAATACCCTTAAGTTTAAGGTTTGGCTTCTTTGTATTCTTTTTCTCGTACATAAATAAATGTTCAGGTACAGTTCTATGCAATGGAACCAACTACCATATGCTTTTACAGACCCATGCATTGGTGGAACACTGCAGAACATGATTTGAACATGGCAGCACAAGAAAATTCTTGTACATGCTTGAGTCATGATATGGTAAACATGAAAAACAGGCAATATTGTCTCTGGTGTATGATTGTGCCCCCACCCTCAGTTTTCCATAGTCATTGTTATATCCACATTTACTGCTAATTGACCTAAGGAAATAGCTAGCTTACTTTGTTTAGCACTTTGCCACTTTTCTGATTGAGAGTATATTTATTTTCACTATTCCATAATATTTGTTTTATACATTTTGTACTTAACTAATTAAGGCCTTTTTGTTTACTTATTTATCAGGGATTTGTCATCTCAGATTGGCAAGGTATTGATAGAATAACATCACCACCCGATTCAAATTACACATACTCTGTGCAGGCTGCCATTGAAGCTGGTGTTGATATGGTTAGTCTGCTCTTTATGCTGAAATTGCCTGCAGGACTGGAGTGAATAAAATTTCGGCTCCAGCATAGCTCATGAAAAAAATATAATGCCTGCTCAAATACAGGATTTTAAAACTCAGCCTTTCTTTTTGTTGACAAATCATCGCAGGTCATGGTCCCATACAAATATGATGAGTTCATTCAGGATCTTACACTCTTGGTCAAGAGCAATATCATTCCAATGGAGCGAATCAATGATGCTGTTGAGAGAATTTTGCTTGTAAAGTTCACCATGGGTCTTTTTGAGAACCCTCTAGCTGATACCAGCTTAGTCGATGAGCTTGGAAGCCAGGTTAGTCATTCAAGCCATTTATTTCAATCCGAATAATATATATAAAATAACATCCTCTTTCCTTTGATGGAAAAACAAATATATTTGATGAAATTGTCTCCCCAATAATGTTTCGTTTTATATTCGAAAGATAACATGTGATATGAAGAACTTGAGCTATCTTCCTTGCTTCCAAACCCACCTCACCATGTCCTATTGGTTCAGTTGATAGCAGTTTTTTTTTTTTTTTTTTAAATAAGGAAATCTTGAAATTGACTTTTATTAAAAACTAAACAATATATTTGCATTCTTTGTTAATACATCTTATTCTTACAGCATGATAGGGATGTAGGCATTTCATAATACCCAAGTTCCTATAATAATGCCTATGTCCTTATCACGGCATTGAACTTATCTGATGCTTGCACTGACTTTTATGATCAAACCTAGTATGTATTTTTAATGGCATTTCTTGTTGCATGTAATTTATCTAAGCATAATTGAGACATTGAGAGTCATGATATATAAGATTGTATTGTTTCACCAGGAACACAGGGACCTAGCAAGGGAAGCCGTGAGAAAATCTCTCGTGCTGCTTAAGAATGGCAAAAATGAAAGTACTCCACTTCTGCCTCTTCCAAAGAAAGTCCCAAAAATCCTAGTCGCTGGTAGCCATGCCGATAATTTGGGCTACCAATGTGGAGGGTGGACAATCAAATGGCAAGGATTCAATGGCAACAGTGACACAAGAGGTAAGTGACTCAGACATTCATAACAAGCTGAGGTCTGAGCTCTAAATGTTATGTGACATTTTTACTTTGACGAGTGAGACTAGTTAGTGAGCATTATGTGGAGTAGTTTGTGATGCATATTTTTTAATAACTAATAGCAGGTAGTTTGCATGCATGTCAAGAACCGAAACTAATACTATTTTCCTTTGACAGGAACAACTATTCTCAGTGCCATAAAATCAGCAGTTGATCCAAGCACTGAAGTTGTTTTTCGCGACAACCCTGACAATGAGTTTGCTAAGTCCAATAACTTTGAATATGCCATTGTTGTGGTTGGTGAGCCTCCTTATGCGGAGACTGCTGGAGACAGCACAACACTTACAATGGTGGAATCTGGCCCAAATGTCATCAACAATGTCTGTGGGACTGTTAAGTGTGTGGTAGTCATAATCTCTGGCAGACCTTTGGTCATTGAACCATATGTTTCTAACATAGACGCATTGGTGGCTGCATGGTTACCAGGCACTGAAGGCCAAGGTGTGACAGATGTCCTTTTTGGTGACTATGGTTTCACGGGTAAGCTTGCGAGGACATGGTTCAAATCTGTTGATCAACTCCCGATGAATGATGGGGATCCTCACTATGATCCTCTTTTTCCTTTTGGTTTTGGACTAACAACCGAATCTGTGAAGGACCTGGTAGCGAGGTAATTTTCATTTAAATTATGAAAGCCTTTTATATTTTACTCATGTCGCAAAGACTAGTTGGAGAAGAAAATGAGAAGGTAAAATGACCTGAACTTTTTCCATAAACTAAAATCAAGGAATGCCCTTCAGGTTTTGGAGAAGTCAGGTGAAAAAACTCTTGTGAAGTAGTTAAGTGCATAAGTGAAGATAGCAACTCAATTCATCATCTTTTTATTTTCTTCACCTATAAATACTTAGAGAAAAGTTTATTCAAACAAGACCTTGATCATACCAGTAGTAGTTATCAACAAGTTTCCATTTGACAAGAGTTGTTCCTGCTATACTGATGGAGCCATCCATTGTGCAGGTCAACCTCAGCCGCTATTGGTGTAAGGGCTTGTATATTTACCATCATGGTGACACTATTCATCAGCTTATATTAAACTGGTATGTTGGTGATTGACTTTATACATAATGAAGTTGATTACTTTTTTCAAGTGACACAAAATAATGTACACCTCAATGTTTGATAAATACTAATGTTTGATAGGTTAAGCACAATTCATGGGAGCTTTTTGGAGCAGGGGGCTAGAGAGAGAACTAACTTGGGACACTTCCGGCTTAAGTCTTTTTCTAGTGTAATTCATTGTATTCGGTACATTATTATTGTTCTCCGACGAGTCATTTCAGCACACATTCTTTTTCATGATTAAGACTTCGTTCGAAGGATTATCAAGACTATTATTAGGTATTAAATCTACTAGGCTTTAAGTAACGAAGTTATTTGTTAGAGGACTAAGCTTAGATTTTGGTTTTTTACTTTCTTGTCATTAAGCTTTCCAAAATAATTATGTGGATATTTATTTTAATTGTGCAATTAATAGTTTATGTAAAAAGTATAAAATAATGTATTTCAAAGTATATTAGGAAAAAAATTAATGTTTCATTAGAAAATAAGAATATCGATTATTATGGAACTTAAATGAAACTGCAGTTATTTTTGGAAGGAAGCATGTGTATGCAACACAAGTATGTGTGATGTCTAATAATATATTCCGATCGTAGTATGTTTGAAACCTATTTATAAGACTCGAATCCGTATTGTCTGACTCATATTTTCTGGTCATTCCCATTCGTTTCATAATGGATTTTTTGAAATTTACTTTTTGTATTTATTTATTTAGAAAAGTTTATTTTGAAATGAATGAAAAATAATATAACAAATATTAGGTGCAGGCACTTGAAATCCTAAATAAATAAAGTTAAAATGCTGACCCAATATTATTAAGTCCAATCATATTATCACAAATCCAACACCCATAAATATGAAGACTTTCTAATGAATACGCACCAGAATCTCTTCTTGCAAAATACATTGCCAGAATTTGGTTCAAGCAGACTACAGTAGATTCAACTCAAATATTCTCTTTCTTAACATTTGAGCTTCTTCCTAGTACACTGGAAATGGAAAAGAAACTTACGAACTAAATTATAATTAAAAAAAAAAATTGAGAAACTGACAAAGTAGTACAATGAGTTTCTTCCTAGTACACTGCTAAAATCCAGTGTTCTTACAGCTTCAGTTCAAGGCCCGTACAAAAAAGAGAGTGAAAAATAGATACATGTATCAATGTGTGGTTAAGAACTAAGAGTTGCAGACATCCTCAATTCATTAAAAAAGAATAGGGGCAAGAACATATGGATAAATAGCGAATTTACAAAATTAATATGATATTTGAAATGATCCTGTTGGAGTTCAATTCACACCTTGCTTTGTCCTATGCATTCACCAGGAACACGCTTTATTACCCTCCGAAATAAATCTGCATCTGTCAACTCACAAATAACCACTCCAGAACAGTACGTGCGAAGGAGTTATTTTCATTTTGAAGTGCGTGAATTTTTACCTCCACATCATAGCCCAGTGTCCACTAGCAGAGTGACAATGTTAATATTTTGCCCAAGTTCGATGGCTGCACGCATGGGCTCTCACTCCAGTTATAGCAGGCTTTCTCTGGCAAGGCAAGCATCCATGGTGAGAAGGTGAAAGACAATATCAACCTGAAAAGAGATGAAAAAAAAAAAAAGAGTTTGTGGAACATCAGAGACAGATTCAAAGATGCCAAGTGTAACATTTCTGATTAATTCCAAAAGTTCACATCTTGAACAACGTAAGACGACAGGAGTATTCGGTTAAGTGAAATAGCTATTTCAACAAGGAAATGTTGCAAACATGACAGGCAAATGACAAAGTCACATGCAGGTAGGCTTGGGTTGGGGAATGAAGTCTCGCTATAAATACAAGCAGGAATGAGAAGAAATACTGATTAACATTAGATTAATAAATGCCCACTGTCAAAATCCAAATTAAATAAAGAATGAGAAGATTGAGGGGGAGCTAGCAAGTGCTGATTCAAGGAAGAAGGGGAGGCTAATGAATAGTTATTGGCAGACAAATTTGTAACAATGACAATACATGATAAACCTTTAGAAACTGATTTTATGTAAACTTTAGAATCACTTCAACCTTGTATCATGATAATATCTCACATGATCATCAACTCTTCGAAAAGTCAAAGCTTAGAGGTGAAACCACATGAATAGTTTCCATATCTCTAATACACTGCCTGGGGTGAGACACATATGGCTTGCTAAATACATTATTGGTTTTTATACATACAACAGCCATCATGATTAACACATTTTAATATTTACACTTCATGTTAGGAGCTGACAAAACCAGAACGAGGAAGGAAAGCACAAGAACAAAAGAGAAGGAACAAGGTGGTTTACCAGCCAAAGATCAGGTATAATAGGTTAACACTACTTATGCGGGCAAGGGAGGGAATCAGGAAATTAAATGATAAACCTATATCTCACTCTCATGAGTCCAAAATATCCTGAAAGAACTTATTCAAAAACCATATACAAAAATATAACTGCTTAGTGCGTTCAAATTACAAAACCTTTTGTTACATTTGTGCTGCATTCATCCTTCCATCATTTTCTTCCTCTTTGTTTATTTGGTCCTGGTCATGCTGGTTTGAGTCAACTAGCAAATGCTGTTTTCCTACAACACTTTCGTTGCTCCTTACTAAGGAGAGTTGGTCCATAGCAAGAGAATTCCTTTTGTAATTCCAGACAAGCATTGAAATATAATCTTGAGGTGTAACAAGACCTTGTTCACTAATGCAACTCCGTTGCTCCTCCAAAGTCTTCGGATCTTCAAGTTTTATGTATTCCAGCAACAACTTTTCATGGTCAGGCCTCCAGTTACTGGGGAACGGGGAGTAATCTGTCTCAGGCACAAGAGACATCCTTGTATATTGGAGCCCATCGATTGATTCGGCAAGCCCCATCCTCAACAAATTCTGGTACTCAGGAGACTGCCCTTTTTTCTCCTTCAAAGGACGACTCAAGTTACGAGCACCAATCTTGTACACTTTTGCACGCGAACGAAGCTTGTATTTTGCAGCATACAGCTTAGCAAGGGAGCCTCTTATGATATAAGAGCAAAAATTTACAATCTTCTTCCTATTGTCTGCATACCTGTACCACTCAACCATGGTTGACAAAAACTTGTTCATTTGAGCATTCGTATGCGCCTGCGTGGCATGAAACATCCTAAAACAAGGCTGGGGATCTGGATCTTTATCCCCCTTGAGAAAACTCAACTTCCTAAACTGCTTAATACACTGTTTCAAGCTGGCCGTCACCGACAACAGTGTCCCCACACCTTTCTCACTTATGATCTTACCACCTGTTGCAGTGTACCTAAGAGTTGGATACACGACCCTCCTACACAGCACATGGTCCAAAAACATGATCCCTTTTGTTATATGTTCTATAGGGAGGCTCTCATTATCAAGCTTGAGCATAAATCTCTGATCACAAAACTCAATCAACTGCTTCCTCAATGCAGCCGCATCCGCCCTAGGCCCTCTAACACCAATCAAGACGTGCCCTCCATACCGAACGAAATCCATCTTCCTAGTCTTATCCGGCCCACTGGTGGGCACAAACTCCGGCCATGATGTGTTCCCCTGCTCCTCTTCAGGACTATTCCATATAACATCACTCTTGGAAGGAACGTAGAACTCCTTAATCTTCCCCTCCATCCACCTATCAAACTCATCCAAACAAACATTCGCCAGTAGCGGACTAAGCACTCCACAATGCCCCCAATTGGGAACCCTCTCCGCCTCCTCCGGCGCAAACCCAAAAAAGGTATCCAACCAATAAGGATCAGGCTTAGGCTCATCCTCGGCCAACACCCTCTTCTTTTGATACTTCCTCTTCTTCTTCTTTTCTTTTTTCTCCACGGTAGTAACAATCACCGGCGTAACCAGCGCGTCTTTTATCAAATCAACGACCAACTTATCCCTAATATCCCTCATGACAGCATTGATCACCAACCCCACTTTCATCCCATCCAACAAAACACTAAAATCACCCTTTATATACCACAAATAGCCAGCAAAGCTCCTTCTGATGACCCTTAAAACAGTGTGGGGTGTTCTACCTGGTCTGAAAGCGTAGGACTTGGGGGAAAAGCGAGGCTCGTAGATTGGTTCGAGTATCATCAAGAGAATCTCCTGAACGATCTTGTCCTGGAAGGGTGAGGGCTGCGTGGTGGTGAGGATGGTTTTGATTTTGCGCTTGGAGAGGGAATCGTAGTCGGTTTTGTCTCGGGGGGATTTAATGAAGAACTTTAGTCTAGCGCCCCACTTGAATTTTCCGTCAAGGACGGCGTTGCGAAGGGCGAGGAGATCCTGGAGGGTGGAGGTGGAGAGGGAGGAGCGGGGGGTGTAGGAGCCGGTGTCGTCGGTGGCGACTTTCTGGTAGGCGAGGAGCCAGAGGTCGAAGCGGCGGAGGAGGGGGCAGAGTGAGGTGACGGCGCGGTCGGGGTGGCGGAAGTTGTCGATCCACATCTGGCAGCAGAGGGAGACGCCGTCGTCTCTGGAGAGGGTGGAGGAGGAAAAGCGGCGAGGGGAGGACTGAGGAGGGTGCAGGATAGGGAAGCATGGAATTGCGCGCAATGGATTGGTGGGTTTGGGTAGGAGGAGATGGCGGTGGGAGAAGAGGTGGAGGCGGCGACGCATTTCGGAGTTGTGTTGTCAGAGCATTGGCTGGGAATGAAGTGAGGGAGGAAGCAAAACCCACCAAAAACCCTGCCGTTAGTCAGGTATCATCTTTCCTTCTTCCGTGTGTTCTTCAAAATAAAAGGGCTTCATATATATGATATATTTTTTATGACCCAAAAATTATTTTTAAAATTGGTTACATAATAATTTAAAGTTTAGTTTTCTTATTTTATACTTGTCGCCTAATTTTAAAAATTAGATAAATTACATGTGTTACATTATTATTTAGTACACATATTTTCATTTTTTAATTTAATACGATTCATTTTATCGTGGAACTATTTATTCGATCACGTACATTTTTGGAATATGATAGAAGGACACATATGGTCAACCTCATTCAAATTTATCTTAATTTTAATTTAAACATGGATTAGATATTATGAGAAATATTTACCATCCGAATCCCGTAAAATGAAGAAAAATATATTGGTTATTATAATAAAAGATAATTTGAAGGATAGAAATATATATGTAAATATACTTCAAGTTCATGAAAATTTTTTCCATAACAACCAGGAAATATTTTAAATATAAATTTAAAATTTAAACATTAAAAATATATTTAAAATAATATTTTTAAAATCGGATGAGTGAGCTGAAGTTTTATTCTATGAAGAAGCTCATAGCTATTGCAAGGAAAGAGACTCATACCAACCCACAGTCTAGTTCTCTGTACACCCTCAACAATCTTCTGCTTACTCTTGTGTTAGGATAAGACTTACAAGATTCGCAGCACACAACAAGAATAGTGGTGCAGAGAAACAATAAGAAAGATTAAGAGAAGATAATTCTAGGTATATATAGATATCAGACGAATAATACAAAAATAAGGAGTCGGACAGTGAAAATGTATTAAGAAGAGAGTTTGTGACGATGTATTTTTTCTTTTAAATAATGTAACTTGTATTATAGGAATTCACAGCTAACGTTAGAAACAACTAAAATATCAACCCAAAAATGATATAAGATTCCCCTCCATGAGATAAACATTGACCTCAAGATAAAAAAATATACTGTTTTTTCAAATTATAGAAAAACTCCCAAATGTATCTTCAGGCAACTGATCCTTCCACTTCATTAAAACCTTAGTTATTGACATTCCTTGTCTTTTAACTGTGATACTGCCAAAAATAGCTTTAGGTTCTTTATGCAAAGTTTGCAATTCTGAGCGGTTGTCACTATAACTGAATCCACATGTTTCTTTAATTCAAAAACATGAATTACATTATGATAGCTGTATTTCCCGCTTTGTCATTGACCTTGAATGGGTTATAGAACTTCAGATCAAACTTCGTTGTGCTACTCTAGTGATGGGGATGAAGTTTAACATAAATTAAATCCTCACTGTCTAATGTCTTATTTGATATAAATATTTGTTGAATTATTGACAAGCGTACCAAAATTATCAATCGCAATATTTCGATTAAATAAAAATTGATCTCTCGAGAAACGGTTTCAATAGAAATTCCTAATTATGCTTACTAAGTATATTAAACAGATTGAGTTTTGTAAATAAGAGTTGAATTGAAATTAAATGACAAACAATTGTAAATTGTTGAGAAAATATCAATTAAAGGTACTTAGGATTGACTTTCTTCCTTATCCCTCTTTTGTAATGGCTAAATTAATTAAGAACGTCAATTAACCTAACAATGTTGATGTCACCTACTCAAATCATCTATGTTGATTCCTCACACATGAAATTCATAAGAAAACCTAATAAATGTTGATTCCTCACACAATTAAGAGATTTCCCAACATTAGGTTTAAGGTGTTAAGCAATTGATACATTCATTCCATTCCTAGCAATTAATGTAACAAATATTTTTACCGTGATCTAGGGTTCAAGATATATTTTCCAATCATACCTCAAACATCAAGAATAAATCATTCCAAAGTATAAAAGATAAGAATAACAACATCAAAGCATATATTAATATCTCAAAATATCACCATGATACAAAAAAGTTCAAAGGAAGTGCACCGAATCCTAAGAGAATAAAGTTAGTCACTCATGTTAGCCATTACAATGCTCTAATTGATGAAGAAGTGAAGAATTGATGATGATTAGACGAAACCCTAACAGTAGTCGTGCTTCCTCTTCTCCAAGACTGTTTGCTTTCTCAAAACACATCTTATCTTTTTATAAGAGAATTTGGGCCGAACCTCGCATCATTCATTCGCTTAAGTGTTCTTCTTTCTCTCAATTTTTCTCTAATTATGCTGACAATTATGCTCCTTACTCTTGTATCAAGGTATTCTCGAATTCATCCTATATTGGGAGAAAAATAGATTAGAATTAACATAAGTTAAATGGTTTCATAACAATTTAAGGCATAATTATATCAACTTTTTACCACTTAATAACTCCCCCAACCTAGAATCTTGCTTGTCCCAAGCAAAGTAATTTTTCCAAAATAAAACCATTGCCTATTATCACTTTCTCTTCCAGAACCACAACATAAAAATTTTCAAAGGTGATGCTCACAATTCCAAATGAAAATAGAACACATAAGCATTCAAGTTATAGAAACCAACAAAGAATAATTAGTCCTCAACTATCATCAGAGAAACATGATCTCTCAAAAAGAGTTATATATACTCATCTCTAATTCTCACAGGTAAATGTTTATCTCATTCAATCACTTTATTTAGACAATCCAATATTGATAATCATCTTCAAGCAATCAACAATTGTTAAACAAGACTTAAATCAAAATGTCTTTTGAGGCTTGTAATGGGGTTGGGTTAAGAAAGAATTATTGGTTTTTCTGGGATATACAAAAATATTTGAGAAATTCAACTCATATGAATGATTCTTGATTAACAATTCCTCAAGTCAGGTTTCAAACTTCATGTTTTTGTCCCTAACACAATGACAATGAGTTAATAATCTCAAGTTATTATTCCCCCCTTGAACTACTTTTATACTTTTTTGTTTCTTTTTTCTTTTTTTTTTCTCATGCTTTTGCATGTATCCTTTTTTACTTTGCCAATTTTTAAACTTTGATTTTCCTTTTTCTTTACACTTTTTTTTTAAGAATAACACTCCAATAATACCTGTAGGACAACAATAACAATACCCAACAATAAGAAACATAGTGACATTCATACTCATTTCCTTTCTTAAATATAAGAAAGTAGATAAATAGTGTTTAGGCTTAAGGGTTCTGTTTAAAAAATAATATTATTTTTTGCTTAGAAGGGGTTCAAATAGATGTCCTAAAATTAATGCAGGTTTGGATATTTGGCTCTGGGTTATATCTACTACAAAGAAAAAATGTCTTTATAATTTTCAAGTCTTGCCAACATGTAATCACATCAAAGAATCAACCAATATCAGTTATCAATTACAAAGTGTTGACACTCAATTTATCTGTTTTTGGTACTCTACTCACCTGGGTTTTGGCTAGCTTCTCCAATTCAGTTAATTCCTAATTCTCCTCATCAATTCCTTTTCACTATCATACTCATCATCCCAAAATCACTTGTTATTGGAAACAATCAAAATGATTTTTCATGTTCTAGATTTGAATTAGATAATAAACAATAATCTCATATATGACTCTAAAACAAATTATGGAATAGCAAGAGAATTCAAAATTTAAAATAAAGCAATTAAAAACATTAAATTAAAAACAAAGGAATTAAAAACATTAAAAACAAAGTAAGTTTCTTCCCTCATTTTCTTCACTTGTCATCTACTCCTTACCTTGTGCCTCAGCCTCAGCTGCAAACTTTCTCACCCCCTCCGGAAAAGTTGGACTGTCCCCAGGCCATTGAAGTAAGGCTTCAAAGTCTTGAGGAGAAGTTTACTGTATACCTGGAGCAATCTTGCAAAGAAAGAACCTAAGGAAGAAAAATGCACAAAAAACTTAAACTGCAAAAAGAAAAAAAAAATTTAAAACATTGGGTTGCCTCCCAGGAGCATTTGTTTGACGTCTTCATCTTGACGCCTATTTGCTTTAGGGCTCATGCAGATGAGTGATCAAGGTGATATATACGCATTCTCCATCCCTTGACTGTCCTTGTGGCAATGAATTTATTCTTTTCATTGCGAATAACCTTACGGCTGTCAGAGATTGGATAAATCATACCTATTTCAGGAGGTTTCAGTACCTCTCTTTGAACAACTTCCTTCATAGTCAGATTGAGATGTCTTTGGGGTTGTGCAATAGACTTGTAATCTTGTTTTTAGTTGAGATGGGTAATTCCTCCAAAGTATCTATTCTGAGGCAATCTTTCTTGTCTTCCGGTTGTTGTACAACTTCAAACAGATTAAAATTAACTTCATCATCTCCACTTCTAATTTTCAACTTACCCATGTCAACATCTATAATTACGTTGACAATCTTCATAAATGGCCTTCCCAGGATCAATGAGACTTCCTCATTTTCCTCCATGTCCATAATCACAAACAAAAAATATGAATTTATCCACTCTAACTAAAACATCTTCTACTACTCCATAAGAAATCTTTAGAGATTTGTCAGCTAGCTGCAATGTCATTCTTGTAGGCTTTACTTCCAAGTCTCCTATTCTTTTAAGCATAGACAAAGACATTAGATTTATACTAGCATCCAAATCGAGTAATGTCTTACTTACTTGTAATGTCCCAATTGTGACTGGTATAGTGAAACTGCCAGGATCCTTTGACTTTTGAGGTAATGATTTTTGAATTATAGTGCTGCATCCTTTTTCTAACTCCACTGTTTCTGCAGTAAATCTCCTTTTCTTAGTTAACAACTCTTTCATGAATTTGACATAAGTCGACATCTGCTTCATAGCTTCCATAAATGGAATATTAATTTGTAAATGCTTGAAAATATCCATAAACCTAGTGAATTGTCTTTCTTTATCTATCTGTGAGGGAACCTTGGGATATGGTAACTTCTCTACAAATATTTTTTGACTTCCTCATTTTTCTATCTTTTGTTTTTTTCTCTCCCTCTTCG